ATGGTGGAACTGTGACTAGCACCAAAGCTCCCAAATTCAAGTTCCCCCTCCATGAGGACTGAATCAAACTCTGGTTAGGTTCAAGGCTGATCTTATGGGGAGACTGGATTCGGTTCTCACCTAACTCAATCTGCGACCAGAATCGTGGGAACAATCAAGCTCGTGAACCAAGGTACCACTGTACTGTGAAGGTTAAGAAGCTTCAGAGACGCCAGCATGAGATGCACTTAGAAAGATCCTACTTCTACGCTATGCATCCAGTTCAGCACATCTGAAATGATGGTTTTTGATCTTCCTTTCATGGTATTTTTCCGCACTTCTGGACATAATGTCTGGACGCTGCTGAGGACCTTGTTGAGTACCTGATGACTTAAGCTCGCAATATAGTCCCCTCTTCTTGCTAATATGTTCACAATCTCACAGATATGTTGCTACTACATACTAGATGAGCAGTTCTCCAAGTGTGGCCTGCGGGCTCTTCGAGGACCACGGGTCAAGCAGTTCCCGTAACGAGATGTTCCTGTTTCACTCTGTTTTATTTGCACTGATGCCCTAAGAGGCTTGCTGGCGCCTTCACAGAACTGTGCACCAAACTAGTAGGCGCCGTGTTCACTGTCATTCACCCACAACGAGACGCAAGAGCAGACCCCTCCATTTAAGAATGGTCCGGCTTTGAGCAGTGGCAGTATCGTAGCCAATGAGGTTTATCCGAGGCGTGATTACTGCTAATTGAAAATTTTCCCATTTAAGAATGGTCTTGATGAAGCAGCAACATGATGGATTTTATTACCGAGTTTATACTTTTGACCATCCTGCACAATCAATCAGGAAGTATAATCTGAGCACTCCTTCAGCAAAAGTACCCGTGGGACTGACGTGAGCTGAACTAGCTGTACTGCTCTCAAGGCTCCACTTTTATTCAAAAGTCAACTAAGAAAAACGGTAGTCATGAGACTCGGGTATGTGGCAGACATTTTCTCAGAAATGAACGAAGTGGATTTCTCACTTCAAAGAAAACAACTGACAGTATATGTGATGAACTTCAAGTTTTCAAGTGAACGTTTGAATTTGGGAAAGCGCTTACCTTCCAGCGTGAGCTTGCCAGCTTTCCAGTATGTACAGACCTTCAGGGGCGTGGGGTATAGGTCAGTGACAGAGAAACTGTGTAGCATGGGAAAGGGCCTGGGTTTTACCCCAAGTGCGCACACCACCCTCCCAAAAAAACAAGCAACAAAAAGACTTCAGATAAGATCGGCAGTGATGGGGGCTGGGGATTTAGCTCAGCGGCACAGTGCCTGCCTGGCAAGTGCAAGGCCGTGAGTTCGATTCCCGGTAGGGGGGGGGGGGGGGGGCGATCAGCAGTGATGGTAACAAATTTGATTTACTTTTTTTTTACTTTAGAGCTAGGGTCTCACTATGTAGTTTAGGCTGGTCCTGAACTCACTTTGTAGTTCATCCTGGCCACAAAACTCTTGGCAATCCTCCTGCCTCAGCCTCCAGAGTGCTGGGATTATAGGGATTACAAGCATGTGCTACCACGCCTGGCTCATTTTTTTTAATATCCTAAAATATTAGAATTAGGGTAGGCATGTAGACATGTAATATTTCAAGGATCAATGTAACTCAGTAAATCCATATTCTCTAAATAATGTTAGAAATTAGGTATGAGTAAAAGGCAAGAGAAGGATGCTAATTAGTTGAGTACAAAATGTTCATTACTATGGTTTCAGATCCACAATGCAACCAACCTTTCCCACACTTCCACTTGTTTCATGGAGGTAATCAAAAGAGAAGGACCGCACTTATCTGAAAAGACCCCTAAAATCCCCGCTCCTTCCCATCTACATGTCTGTGTGGCTGGAGTTTCTGGTTCACATAATTCAATCAAAACAACACGGCCAAGTATTTCATACAGAAGCACACATGAAAATCTAGTTATCCTCTATTAAACCAGAAATTAGAGATTTAAAACCATGTAAAACAATGCCACTTTTCTCGTTAAATTTTTGTACTGAAAAAGTTATTCTTGATAAAAATGCTATTATGCAATAGGTCTATTATGATTTAACAAATTAACAAGTTTTTAAAAAATTTATTTTCATTTTGAACCTCATAAATGTAGCTTGAGCCAAGGGAGGAAAAAGCTCTTTGAAGCCCTCGGGGCCTAGGGACAAAGCGCTTGAGGCTCACTGTGTGATATGAACAGCTGGAGTTTACAGAGGAGATACACACACAAATAGGGAAAAGGTTTAAGTACAGTTGCGCAAGCCTGTATTCAACCTTATCATTGAAGGTCTACAACTTCAAGTAAAAAACTCTCTAAACTTCAGTTTTTCTCTTTCACAAAATGAGACCCACACATCCACATGAGCAGGGTTACTATGAGGGTTACGCCATGTGTAAGGAATACCAAGTACAGCACAGGTAAATTTTACAATGCAAGGAGCAACACTGTCAAGAGCATATCTACATACACAACGCATGTGCTCAGGAAATGTTCCCAAGAACCTGAGGCAACAGTAAAATCTAGTAAATGTATGTTATCTCAATGTCTATATATCATTTCTATAAAACAGAAAATTAAAATGCATGAAAAATAGCTAAAGTTTTCTTGCATGAAACACAACTGAAGAGTTTTCATTTACTGCCATAAAAACGCACACTAAAACTTTTAAATGTATTTGAAAGTCAACATTTCAAAGCATTCAATGTAAAGCATCTATGATTGGAGGTGGGTGGGTGAAAGGACACTTACAGTAAGACATGCTTGAAAGACATCGTAGAAAACAGTAAGGTAAACGGTAACATGCTGCTAGGCTTGGGGGTGCCTGCCTCTCATCCTAGGGTTCTAGGAAGCTGAGGCAGGAGGATCTCAAGTTTGAGCCCAACTTGGGCAACTTAATAAGACCCTGTTTTAAAAATAAAAAAGGACTGGGGATGTAGCACAGTACGAAGGCCCTCGGTTCAACCCCCAAAACAAAAACACATAACAAAACAAAAACAAAAAACACAGATCAGATATTTGCGACTGGTAAGAAAACATTTGAGTGTAACTAGCTGTTTATAAGTTAGACACAATAGCACTGAGTTATTACAACTATTTGCATTCTACTTTGTTATACCATGCAAAATATCTTCACGTGTATGTTTTGGTTTGCAAACACATTCATGCTTTGGACCACTACAACACACTGAAAAATTACCTCAGTTGTAAGCAGTTTACCATCTTCTCATTTTGCTGATCATCTTTTATGTCTAGTTTAGAAACAAAGCAAAACATGCAAACCCAAGCGTAATTGTAGCAGAAGACAAAAAAAAAAAAAAAAAAAAAAAAAAAAAAAAAAAAATTTACCTGGAGTAGCAATTCACTTGAAAATCATTCAGAAAATCTGAATTCCAATTCGAAGTTTTCAGAGTAATTTACAATCAAATTGCTATTCCCATTAGGAAGTCCCAAGACAACAGAAGCTCACTATTTTTTTTTTTTTTGGTTTTTCTCCGGTACCGGGAACCGAACTCACAACCTTGCGCTTGCCAGGCAGGCGCTTTTTGCCGCTGAGCTAAATCCCCAGCCCCAGAAGCTCACTATTTTGAAAAGATATTCTGGTACACCGCTGGATGAACCGCAGGCAGCCTGAGGTCTAGGCAGGCTTTAGCACAGAGCAAGGTGGAGATGTGGCAGAGCTGCTTCCTGCATAGCCACCCACTTGGGCGCTGCTGAAAAAAACTCAGGCTGCATTTACGGAAAGCACTGGGAGGTTCTACTACAGCTAGGCTGCAGGGAGCAGCTTTCTCATCCGAAAGTCTGGCAGCACGGCTCGGGTCATCCTCACACCTCTTTCGTAGGGCTTTGTTTCTCCTAAACTTGATGCCAGTAGAAAGCTTTTCAAAGAAAAAGATTGATGATGCAATAAAGGACTATAGTAGGGTTTGTAGTGCAGGAACAAATCAGTATGGCAGAAAGAGGGCAAGGGCATTCTAGAAAACAGGCGACTGCTTCAATGTTCGCAGTCACAAGTCAAAAGACGGACTGCTTTTTAAATGATTTAAACAGAATAAAGCTCCTGAAAGGAGATGTTATCGAGCAGAGCCAAGACTGCAGGTGCAGGAAAGAAACATTCCTCTTCCAAGCTTCCCTCACTGAGTCCCACCTCCCCGAGGCAGGCAGTGCGCCCGCTTTCTGGAGGAGGGCACTGCAGCGTGGAGAGGCAAAGCCATGGCCCCAGTCTTCAGCCCTGTGCCAGGGAAGAGCTGGAAGCGAGATCTCTTTGAATCTATGCTCATTCCCCTCTACCATTCCAGAGCTCACAACTATTAAGCGCAACTGTTTTGCAAATAATCCAATTTATGTAGAATTACATTCCAAGAAAATCTCCAGTGGACTAGCTTACCATTAGGATGTATGTGAGAGACAACATAGTTAATAATTCATGGTATTCTGCAGCTTGGATCTCTCATAAAACTCGGTTTTTATTTATATTTGCCTAATTATTCCTAGGGATCGTGTGGTAATAAAAAATGATAATTGGCTGGGCATGGTGGTGCATGTCTGTAATCCAAGCACTTGGGAGGCTGAGGCAGGAGGATCGTTATGAGTTCGAGACCAGCTTGGGCTACAAAATGAGCTCAAGGCCAGCCTGAAATGCATATCGAGACCCTGTCTCAAAAAGACAAAAAAAATGATGGTCATGTTATAGATCAGGTAATGTGCTATACTGACAAAACGAATAGTATTCCTAAGTTATTCATTTAAATGACTAACTCATTTAATGCCCAAAATAATCCTAAGAAGTAGGTGCTATTCATCACCCCACTTTACAGGAGGGGAGCTGAAGGATAAAAGCTGTGTAGTTTTCCCAAGGGACTACAGCCGCAAAGAGGCAGTGAGTCTTAAAATCCCAGGCAACTGGGCCCCGAGCCCAAGCTTTATCAGCAAATTGATCAGCAACTGTTGGATTATATCTAAGTTTTCTAGCCAACACGTACTAGAAAATACTTACCTCTGGCTTGCTAAGACTGGACGAAACCAAGGAACCAGATCCTACATCCAAATCCCACTGCTTTTTACCACGATTCTCAGCGTCCAAGGCAGCAATTCGTCCATCTAAAGTGCTGATAATTACTAATGACCTGTAGATTTAAAACGAATAGGACAAAATTGAAAAAATATCCAAGATTCGGTGCACTTCTTCCCAGCTCCCTCCAACACTTATCACCACCATGTCTCTTAGGTTTTTTCTTTTAGTTTTTTGGAGACAGGCTCTCACTATGTAGTGCAGGTTGGCCTTGAACTCGCTTATGTAGCCCAGGCTGGCCTCGAACTCCCAGCAATCCTCCTGCCTCAGCCTCTCAAGTGCTGGGATTATAAGAATGCACACCATGCCTGGCCCCCCCATCTGTCTTTAGAATAGGATGATTTCAATATGCTCTTTATCTGTTTCTTGTGTACTTCCCTCCTTCCACATCCAAATTCCTGTGAGAAGCTCAACATTCCCTTTCTTTTCTTTTCTTTTTTTTCTGTCTTTTCTTTTCCTTCCTTCCTTCCTTCCTTCCTTCCTTCCTTCCTTCCTTCCTTTCTTTCTGAGACAGGGTCTCGCTATGCAGTTCAGGCTGGCCTCGAGCTTACTTTGTAGCCCAGGCTGGCCTCAAACTTGCGGCAATCCTCCTGCCTCAGCCTCCCGAGTGCTGGGATTACAGGCATGCACCACACCCGGCTCTCCTACCTTTCACACCTCCTGAAAGTCATTTTCTGAAACACAGTCCTCCCTAAATCTTCATTATCTTCTGGCTCTCACTGAAGTAGGGCTTCACTAGGGCATTACCTCCCTACTGAAGCAAAGCGACTTTCTCTTCCATAACCGGGCCTCCTGGGCCCAGAGAGGGAGTGGGTGTGCTCCTTGCCCCTTCCCTGCCATTTCTTGACCATTTTCTTCCTCTCTCTCTGAAAATCCTCAGGATGACTCTGTTTCATCCAGAATCTCTCCAGTTGGGGCTGGGCATTTAGCTCAGCGGTACAGCGCCTCCCGGCAAGCGCAAAGTCATGAGCTCAATTCCTGGTACCAGAAAAACAAAACAAAACAAAACAGAATCTCTCCAGTCATTATGCACTGACTCTTAGGTCACTAGCCCCTGGCCCAGAGGACTTTACTGCTTCATACACTTCTGCCTCAGTTCTGGCTTTCCACTCTCTACCTCCCTTCCTTAGCCATCTGTCATGGCTTGGTCTGGATGCTCCCCACCAAAGCCTCACGTAATCATAGCTGGGGCTTTTTAAGAGGTGGCTGGATCCTGAGTGTCACTGATTCACGGTTCAATGCTAGGATTATGGGTGCTAGGATTAAGGGCAGGAGATTACTAAATCAGTCTACTGCTTGGTAATCCCAGGAACCCCAATAGAGTATAAAAGGGGCAGAAAGAAGCTGCTAGGGTCCCTTGCTTCCTTTGCTGCTTCTGCCCACCATGAACCGCTTCCCCTCGGCGATGCCTGTCTGCCTCTCCACCTTGCGCTGGAGACAACTGATTAGGGACTGAAACTGCTACAGACTGTGAGCTAAATAAAGATTTCCTCCTTTAACGTTAGGTATTCTGTCTCAGCAGAGAGACAAGTGGACTTATCAAGCGCAACCCCTCTACCCACCGGCAGAGTGCTCCACCCCCGCCACCCAGCCTTGTCTTTTCAGGCCCGTTCCTCTGCTTCCCTGACTCCAGCAAAGCTCTGACCGCACTGGAATGTACAAGCCATTGATCCTAGGGGCTTCACCACCACCATGCTCTCACTTCCTTCTTGCCTACTTTAAACGCCAGTCCTCCACCTTATCCTAAGCACTAGCCCGCATCCACCCTTAACTCCCTGTCAGTTCTTTCGCCTGTCACAGTGGACAGGCAGAACTCCAACCCTCAAGTCCCCTCTTCTCCACTCTCCCAGCCCTGGATCTGCACAGGTGAAGGCAGATGGAGAAAAACACAACCCGCCAACCGCTGACCGCTCTCACTTTTACTCGTGACCCTTGAAAAGGCCAGGAGTGACGCCCAGCAGTCAGAACACACTTCCTGGTCCACACGCTATCTTGCTGACCTAGGTTAACTACCTCATTTCTCCTCTTCTTAAAACCCTAGAAGCCTAACGCACTCTTTGTCATTTCACAGCACAATCATGGGCGTGTCACATCATTTATTCTTTAGACTATTTCTACTGATGAATTATTAATTTATAAGTTTTATTAAACCTGAGTGCTTAACAAGAAAAAAAAAAATCACAAAAATAAAGCATTGCATTTTTAATATTTATTGAGTGTTCATAAGAAAGCATCAAAATTTTCAACACTGACTAGTTTTCGGTATACACCATCTAAAAAAGAACAGAAGAAAATTCCTGTATGAACTACGAGAATATCACTGCCACACCACAAAAAAATCAATCTTCACTTCAACAGTCACACCTAAGGCAGTCTTCACACATGACAACGGCACATTCCATATACACGTTATCGGGTACACTACCAGCATATGTATTTTGCTTTCCTGGCCTTTCTGTAGGACATACTTGACATGTAGCTGGTCTTCCTGTTTTGTTAGGAGGCTCCTACACTGTGCAATGTGCAGTTAACAGGAACATAAAGTATGAATAAAGTATTAAATTCTTAATATGTATTGCACGTTAGAATACACGTCAACATTTTCACATCAGCTGTGTACCTGGTTACAAAAACTAAAAGATAACATCAGAAGTAAATTCCTACATGAACTACAATGATAACACCAATAGCACTCTAACATATCAAATGTGTAATACGTGCTTAGAATACACATCAACTTTTCACGGGCTGTGTGCTTGCTTACAAAACCCAAGAGATAACATCAGAAATAAAAAGCTAAGTGAACTACAATGAAAATACCAATGGAACTCTACAACAAAAATAATCTTTGCTAGCCTGGTGTGGTGGTGCACGTGTGTAATCCTAGCACTCAGGAGGCTGATGCAGGAGGATCACTTCGAGTTTGAGGGAGGCCTGGGCTACACAGTGAGTTCAAGGCCAGCCTACACTACACAGTGAAACCCTGTCTCAAAAAAAAAAAACAAAAACAAAATCTTTGCCTCCACTGTCACACTCAAGGCAGTCTTCACACATGAAAACTGCATGTTCCATACACAAGTATCACTTACACTGATAGCACATATGTGGTCGTCATCATCATCACCACCAACCACACCACCCTTCCGTTATAAAAGCATGTAATTTACCATAATGGATCATCTCCATCATCCACGCATGTGTAATCTGATGATTCACTTTTGACCTCCTCCAAAACTTGCAAATCTGGATTTCTATATGCCATTGTACTGAACTGGGCTATTTCTACCAAAAAATCGGAAATCCTGATTTCAAAAAACAAATCCTAGAGTGGTGTGGGTGTATTACACCTTCTGTGATGCTCAGGTAAACATTCGCTAGAATTGTTCCATGGAGCATAGCACGAGTGTAAATCCTGGTCTGGCGCTTTTGTACACAGGCATATATCTTACCTTTCGTAATACCAAGTGGGTAAACACAAAGATCGCTTCCTGTATCCCTCAGAGAAAGGTACTGAGCCACACAGTCCATTACTAGTATGCTAACATAAAAATTTGGAAAAGTAAGGGGTGTGTATGTGGTACCCTATTATGCTTGCAGGGTTTAACCCTGATACCAGTGCTTCAGAGCTCACAAATCTCAGTCATTGTGCTTCCCCGGGGAAAATAGAGGCGACCACAAGTTTGCTTCCCACCTCCACTGCTGCCCAGTTACCCACACTGGACCGATGAACTCTGACCTCCCTCTGCAGGGTGCCTGAGAACTGTCCACTGTCCCTTCCACTCCCAGTCCCTCTCCTTAAGCAGCAGAGATCCCCTGCACAACACTCGAAGACCTTCTTCTGCAAATGTCTCCTCTTACTCCCCATCACCAATTTTCTCCCTGTCCTGCAGCACTTGCTCTAGATTCAGCGAACACACGTGCTGAAAGCTAATCTCCGGTGTGAGGAATTATGCAGCGGGATCCTCGGGAGACAATTAGGTCATGAAAGTGGAGGCTGCACAAGCGACGTCAGTACCCTTATAGAAGTGGTCCCAGAAGTCCCTTTGCCTGTCTATCACGCAAGGACACAGAAGATGTCATCTATGAGGAACGGGCCACATGAGACATCGAATCTGCTGGTGCCGTGATACTGGACTTCCCAGTCTCTAGAATATGAGATATAAATTTTCAAGCCACCCAATGTACAGAATTTTGTTATAGCAGGCTGAACAGAAAAAAAAAAAAATAGCATCCCAAACTGTTATTATTTCCCCTAATTTAAAAACCAAACCAAATCTAAAAAATAAACCAAACCAGACCTAACAGTCCCTAATAGACCCACTGTCCCTGCTTCCAACAGAGTTGTTACATATTTTTATATCTTTAAATCCTCTCCTCCCCACCCCTCTAGAACTATTTCTAACCAGTGTTTGGAAGGGCATCACCCTTCCAAGGCAGCTCTTGTCAGAGTCACCAATGACATTCCCACGATAAAGCCAGGGCCCAGGCTCGGGTCTCACTTCACGACTGTCCACAGCACTTGACCAGCTGCTTCCCTTGCCTACCTCAGTTTTGCTTCTGTTTCTACCCCCACTCCCCAACTCCATGCTATTCTTTTTCAGTTTCATTTTCTAGTTCCTCCTTATCTTCTCTCCCTCTTAAAACAGCCTATACCGGGGGCTGGGGATTTAGCTCAGCAGCATAGCGCTTGCCTGGCAAGCACAAGGTCACGAGCTCGATTCCTGGTACCGGAAGAAAAACCAAAAACAGTCTATACCTACATGTCATCTTCTTTGGGACTCACCCAGTCTCACAGCTATAAGTACATCCACGTATACGCCGGCAACTCCCGAATTTATAACTCTAGTTCCAGACTTCTCCCTCAGCTGAGGGACATTCATGTCTCACTGCCCACTACATTTAAGTTGCGGAACAGGCTTCTCAACGCTCCTGACATCCCAAGTCAATCCCAAGTCATCCCTACAGGGATGCCCCCAAATTTCCAAACATATGATACAGGATTTCCCTCGGGAAAAATCCTTTGCAGCTACTGTTCCTTCTGCCTGGAACATACTC